TATTTTATCTTTATTTTAATAAAATAATTACAACACAAATTACAATATGTACATTTTTAAAATAATAATTAATTAAAAATAAATATAAAAATTTTTTAGTTAATTATTACTTCCCTATTTTGTTGGTGAAAAATAAAAAATGTTAACCTCCTAAAGTTGAACAAGGGAGAATCTAATTAGATGATATGGAATATTAATGGCAAAAGCATCAAGTAAGAACACAAACTTTCCACGTTAAGCAGTCAAGGACACCAGCTTCTAATAGCGGCATATAAGAATAATATCTAAGAAATACTCGCAAAAAAAGTAACAAATTTTTGCTCACGGTGGCTAGGCCTTACCAAGACCTCATTAATGTAACTTTTTAATTTAAAACACCCTACATCTAACTTTTTGTTGGAGAATATCACCTTAAATGAATGGGTTCCATTCATTATTTGTAATTAACCTTTTAAAAATCTTTAAATCTTAGATGGTATGGAAACATGTGTATTGCCCTTGTTTGTGAACTCTCATTAGTTTAGTCTCTCTAATGATGGTAATAGAACTAAAAATGATTTAATTTTTAGATTAGTAAAATAAGTGTATCAACAAAACTGTAAAAATAAAAATATGTATTCTTTTAAATGTTATAAAAATTTTGAATGAAAAACTATAAATGAAATCCTATAAGTTTCGCCGTAAGCATAACACAGAAATTAGCTTTTGCCATCTTTCTATTGGATTTCAATATCCGTTGGATTTCACTTCTATTGGAAGGCTAACAGAGTCAAAATTTTCTTCTGCCAATGGGACTATCGTTATTTGCTTTTTTGGACCACAATTGCATACTGAGAGAAAGTTGGTTAACTTATTTTACGTTTTTGCAAATATTAACCTTATGTTTTCAATCATTATATAATTGCTTTTATGGACCAACCACTCTTTACCAACCATCCCCTCCAACTCCAAGGTAAAAATGTAAAATTTTCAAACTGTGATTTTAAAAAAGAAAGATAAAAAAGGGGAATGACAAATCACCCATCCAACTGTAAAAATACCCAAGGTAATTAATTATATTTAGTTAAATAAAAAATAAAAAAGTAGTATATATCCGTTTTTATTAAAAAATTAAAAATTTAATATTAAATAATCTCTTTTTTAATTAAAATTTAATTTAAAATTTAAAATTTTATTTTATTAAATATTAATATTTAAATTTAAAAATTAAAATTTTATATTTTAATTAAATAAAATAATTTCATTTAAAATTTATTCTTTAATTTTTAAAAAAATTAAAACCCACATGCACATTTCTTTAAATAAAATTAAAAAGTTATCATGAATAGAAACTCAACTTTAAAAGGAAAAAGAAACAACACAAATACGTGCGAAAATGAATATAAATTGGCTCCCTACCTAAATTAGTCCGAAGCACTAAATTCACTCGCTTCGAAGAAAATTTCAAAATCACTAACATGATTACGTGTAATTTTATTGTAGCGAGTACTTAGGCTTTTCGACTTGGAGTGTGGTGTGGCTGAGAAAGTGATGAAGAAGGCATTAATAAAAAAATTATTTTATATTTATTTTTTAAGAAAGAAAATTAGGCCTGCGTGCTTGCTTTTACCTCCGTTGGAAAGGAATGAAAAGGGAAACCGTAAAAAATAAAAATGAAAATAAAATATGCACTAAATATACAGATTTCTCAACATTTCTTTTAGAAAAAGCCCTCTCCTGCTCTTCTGCTTTTTTCATTCTCAAGCTCTAAATTTTCTTTCCTTTCTCTCCTTTGCCTCTGAATTTTTCCGTATTTATTGGTAAGTTTATTGAAAATTTTTTGGGTTTTTTTCTTTTTGTTTTTCTATTTTCCCTGTATTTTTTAGATTTTTCTAAACTGTAAATTTCGAAAATTTAAAATTTTCTCTGTAAATTTTTTTTCTTCTTTCTTCTAGACACAATTTTTTCAGTGTTTTTGGGCATAATTAAAAAGCTCTAGCACAACCCATGAGAAATTTTGCAGCTTTTGCCGATTTCAACACCAAAGTTGAAGTCTTTTAGGGTTTTTATTTTGGGTTTGCTTAGATTTCACCTTAGATTTAAGAGAAACATGCCATTTTAAGCTACAGAGTTAGTGGGATTTGTGAAGTTAGCTGTTTTTTGCTCGAAATCTTACTTAAATTTGTCAAAAAAATATTTTCTTTCAAGTTGGGTCTGAGTGAGTGAGTAAGCGAATGAAGTGCGTCACTTTTCAGGGGACAATAATCATCGCTTTTAAAGGGTGTTCGTGATTCTGTTCATAATGTGTAGATTAGCATTTTTTGTTTGATGATCTTAGAATAATTTAAAAACTTTTTCCTTTTCTTTCTTGGTGGCAGAAGTTGTATGGAATTTTAGTACAAAATGTCGGGATCTGAGACAGGGGTGATGACGAGCAGAGAGCCCTTTACGATGGGCATGCAACAGAAAAGTCCGGTGCCGTCACAGCCGGTGATACAGAACATGCGTCTAGCGTTCAGCGCAGATGGGGCTCCCGTCTACAAGCCTTTGACCCCCACCTCCCCAACCTACCAACCCACCTCGGGCAACGGCGGAGTAGAGGGGTCCTCCGGTGGGGTTGCGGCTTCCATGAACATGGTAAGCGAGCCAATCACGAAGAAGAGAGGGAGGCCTAGGAAATATGGACCAGATGGCACCATGTCATTAGGTCTGATCCCTGGGCCTTCATCTGTTTCCATACCTCAATCTAGTAATGCAGGCTTCTCTTCTCCTCCTGCTTCTGGATCCGCCGCTCCTCCTGCTTCTGGAGGTTCAGCCTCTTCACCAACTTCCGTGAAGAAAGCCAGAGGGAGACCTCCTGGTTCTAGCAAAAAGCATCAAATTGAAGGTCTGGCTAATACACTATTAAATTGCCCATAATGTGTGGCTATTCTTTCTCTTTATAGTAAATCTTTAAAATCTACATGGGCTGATGTTATTTATCCTGAAATATATGAATTTTCCTTTATTTATTTTCTTTTAAATTTCATGTTATGTGTTATATCACGTGATGGGATTCCAATGTTGGAGATGTTGCCTGTGACTGTTGTAGTCTTTATGGCCACTGTTTTCGTTGACTTGATTATCCAGTTTTAATTCCTTTGTTTGGTTGGTTATTTTGTTTCTGGCAGAAGGGGAAAGGGTTACTGCTGAATGCTGTGCTGATATAAAATAAATAAAAAGGGAATAGATATGTTTGTTTGAATTTGATGACTGTGTAATAATATATAGAAAGGAAGGAAATATGGTTCTGCTGGAACTTGGGTTCTCTTCCATCTGAGTTCAGATTCTTCTTTTGCAAAATTACTCATCTATCCTTGTTCATCAGATACCAGTACTTGGTACTCTTAGCTAATAGAGTTTAATTCAGATTCCAGTTCCATAAATATTTTACTTTTAAAGATACAATATCTTCTAAAGTTCTATTTTATATTTGATTAAGTTACAACTTACAAGTTCATTGTTTCCAATTAATATTGAAATAATCAAATTGTACCTAGTAGTAGTGATTCTCCTGAGGTCATTTTTTCTGGTTGAAAGAAATTCCTTTTTTATTAAAGTAATTTTTTTTTTTTTCGTTTTTTCCATTTGGCCTTCCAAGTTTTGTATTACATTATTTATGCCTTTTTACAGGGTCTGCTGGGGTCGGATTTATGCCTCATGTCATCACTGTCAAAGCTGGAGAGGTTTCTGCTTGTTCTTTATAATTTCTACTTATTGTTTATCCTTCCAGATTATTGGAGAAATTTTTTCTTATTACATTTAAATATCAATGCTACCATTTTAGCTTATTTTGGGTTTGCAACTTTGCATTGCAATTTGCAGATATTAGTTATTTAGTGAATTTATATGTTACCTAATTTTTTTTTTATGCCATCGTGTGCACCTAATGGCAGTGGCATTCTTCTGGAGATGCATGGATCTAATATTATATTCTTATCAGGAATAACTTAACTTCTTTCTTCATTTTGTTTAAACTGAGGTCGTCATTTACTCAAATTTTTTTGTGGTGAGATGCATTTGATGGTTTATTCTTGCTATCGCATTCAATTGTTTTTCAGACTGTTATTCTAATCAAGAGTGTCTAGTCTGAGCAGAATGGTTATTTCTTTGCAATTCATTATGTTCTTGATAATAGGAATTAAAGGCAAACATAATTCAAGCAATGGATTCCAACAAGTTTTTTAGTGTTTATGTTTTAGGTTTATTTCTTTATTTCAGGATATATGTTTGTATTATTATGGTTGCACTGTGAAGACACAGGGTCATGCAGTGAGCTCATTTGAATTGGAAGGCTGGATGTAGTTGATATTGCAGTGTGTTGGAATTATAGTGCATAATTATTGACATCACAATCTTAACTTATCCACCACAGATGTGTTAACCAGAATCCCTAGTTTGCTTTAGTTCTAAATTATGCTTCTTTGTTGTTCATGATTTAATGGACCTTCTTTCTTTAGAAAATAACTTTTAGTTGTCTATTTTGCATGGAGATGACTATATGTTTTTCTGTTTTGTTTCAGGATGTATCATCAAAAATTATGTCCTTCTCTCAGCATGGGCCAAGGGCTGTTTGCATCCTTTCAGCAAATGGAGCCATATCAAATGTCACTCTTCGCCAACCAGCCACATCTGGGGGAACTGTTACTTATGAGGTTTTCATATCCTGATAACTATTTCATTGATTCAGTCTCCTATGTAGAGCTTGGCGACCTATGGTTTTGGCCATATATATATATATATATATGGCTTTTGTAACCCTACTACCCTACATTTCTCAGCAATTTAGGGTTTCACAGTTTTATTGGGAGTTTTCTTTGTTAATATTTAAAACAACAGTTTGTTAGGTTTATTAATATTTGTTGTTATTTGTTGGGAAGGTGATGGTGTCTGAATTCTCATGTTTTATGGATTGGATTCCATTTCTTTCTTCATTGTGTGATCAGTGATATTATTATCTCTAAGGT